GTCTCTCTCTGTTTTCCTGTGCCGCTGTGGAAACACGATACGCAGATTTTTCAATTTTTTTGGTAACTGATTGGCTGGTGATTGTTGTGCCCTGTGATCCAGAAAGTTTTGACTGCAGAGCTGAAGTTCTCAAAACCTTAAAAAAAAGCAAAAAAAAGCACCGAAAGTACCACTTTGTGTTGGGAGACATGTGAGTTGAGAATGTTTTGCTGGTCCTTCAGGTCTGCTTGTTTTTCGTTCTGTTTTCTTTTATGGACTTGTAGTTTTCTGTTCTGGCTTGGTTTCAGGTCTTCTTGCTTGGTGGCAGTTTGTGCTTTAGCGGGTTTGGTTGAGGTGTGGTGGGTGTTGCGGACCCGGGTTGTGCTCAGGTTGGGTTGAGCTTTGTTGGTTAGCTCGAGTTATCGGCAGCAGCCAGTTAACAGTGTTTTTTTTTTTTTTTGTCTACAGGAGTTTCTCAAAGCTCGTGAAGACCTGAGGCGACCCAAGGAGGACCTAGCTGAGCTCGATAAACTGTCTCTGATAAGAAATGACTACGTATGTGCCATCGATCATGGTAGAGAATCTAGAGATGCATTGAAGGAGCACATGAACGTTCGTGTGATAGAAGTTCATCATGGAACCTTTTAGGAAATTAAATGCAGAGCTTTTAACTTTCAAGTCTTTTTCACTTTTTGAGAATTTTTGACATCTAAAACTACCGGCACATCTGTGAGCCTATCTTGCCAAACCAACCGCTTTCTGCCACGTGTCTTTTTTTTTGTTTTGTTTTAATTGGCCAGCATCAGCGCTGGTTGCTAAAGGTAACTCCGGCCCCTGGGGATGTGGGCAGGTACATGCAAGAACATAAAGTGCGATGGTAGTTTTTTTAAAACTTTTTAAAAGTTTTTATGACTCCAGGCTAAAAACAAAAACACGATGAATTACGTGAATTTCTCTGACTGCCATGTCTGCCCTAGAGATGCTTAAAAATTAAAATGATGAATTCCCTGTATGGCTGTGAATATTACTGAATAATGAATTCGCTGAATTCCCGAAGGGGTGGCAAGCGGGCTGGAAGTACCCAGGGATTTTTAATTTTTTTCTTTTTTTTTTGTTTCTGTTCTTTTTTTCCCGGATTGCAGGGCTGGCATGCTCTCATGCACATCATGCAGAATCTGCACTTCGTTGTGAAAAGAAGTTCACAGAACGTTATGGGGGCAGATTGGAGTGAGGGAGAGGGGGAGGGGAGGGGTGCGGGGGAAGGACTGGGGGAGTTGAGATGATGGGGGGCAAAGGAAAAGAAAGGTAGTAGGGGGACTAACCATGCTGCGTGTTGGGTGGGGTATAACAAAGGAGGCGACATGCGGTGTTGGCGACCAGGGGCCATGTAGGGAGAGTGCAGTGCATGGCAGTGATAGTGAAGGGTGACGATGGTGCATCACCGACGTCGAATGGGAAAGGGCAGCTCAGAGCGAAAAAAGAACCCCGATTTGAAATCGGGCCCTGCCTACGGGAAGAAGCCAAATCACACGCCCCCCGGACCCCCGCCTGAAAAACGACAGACGGAAGAAAAACACCGATAGTAAAACGGAACAAGACAAAAACGAACAATTACAGACACCTAAGAGCATTTACGGTCCTAAGAAAATGACCGTGGGCACCCATGTTGGCCCTTCTGTTTTTGTCTTTTTGCCCCAGTGTGCTGGATCGACCAAGCCGGTATTGGGCGGACCTGGAGGGTTCCCGGCCCGCACGATTGTAACACAGCGGAATATTTTAATTGTTTCACATAAGGTTGCAAAACTACTTTCTTTTCATTTGTCGTTGAATAGAGTGGTTGAGTATGCTGCAATTGGTTTCGGCTGGTCCTGGCTCGAGGCCGTTGAGTACTTTCAGGGTTGGTTGGTTAGTTAGGGAACTTATAATAATGAAAATGTGAACCCCCCCCACCCACCCCCACCCCCTGCCCAGGCACAGGCAGGTAAAAAATCACAGGGGGGTTTCTTCTATCTTTGTGAAGTTGTGAATCCAACCCTCCCCCCACCGGTCCAGGCAGCGTGGGCTGTACTGCTTAGCCCTGACCCACGCAGCAAGGCAGGTAAAAAATCTAGCTTTTGTGCGTCTGGGTTCGGGCTTGTATTGTGCCCGATAGTAGAAGCAAAATCAGAATTCAGCTGTGTATTTGATGCCGGGGGACGTCGGGGTGGAGACTGCGGGGGGGCGGCAGGCAGGGGAGGTGTGAGGCTAGGGAGGAGTGCAAGCATCAAGGTGTGATGTTTTTCTTTTTCTTTTTTTTTTTGTTGTAAAGTGCATCTAGGTGTCAGGTGCATGGAAACACGTGGCAATTATGATGATGACGATGATGATGATGATGGTGCTTATGACAATGATGCTGCTGCTTATCCATTCTCCTTCCCTTGCTGCTCCTGCTGCTGATAACTGTCGTAGTCGTAGTTGTAGTCGTAGTAGTAGTACTAGAAGTACTAGTAAGTAGTAGTGGTAGTAGTAGTGGTTGCAGTAGTGTGGTTGTCATTGTTCTAGCTGTTGCTGTTGTTGTTATTGCTGCTGTTTTGGTAGTGGCAATGGTAAGAGTAGAAGAAGAAGAGGAAGGAGAAGGAGAAGGAGAAGGAGAAGAAGAAGAAGAAGAAGAAGAAGAAGAAAGTGTGAGAACAGTGGCATTTCTATGTTCTTCCTTTTGTTTCCTTTTTATCCTCTCCTCTCGGTGCCTGGTGTTGGATAGAGAGGCTCAGATGGACGGGCCTCAGCTGGACGGGGTTCAGATGGATGGAGAATTATCTTGAAAATGTGAGTGGCTTGGGGCTCAGATGTCACGGAACTTCTGAACTAATGCGCACTGCAGGTGACTGTCAAGGATCTCCGGAAGCAAGCGAATGTGCGAGATCCAGAAGTGAATGTGCGAGATTCGGACTCGAGTGATCTTGGTTCTTCTCCCGGGTCGCCTTCTTTCTCAGACTTCTCTAGTTCCAGTGTTGAGGAAATACCGGCGCCCTGCAGGTGCCGTCACTGCGAGCCTGTCTGGCCAGGAAGAGGTAGGGAGAGGCGCGGCTACTTTACCCTGTCCTTCGCAGTTTGAATGCGTTTTGTTTTTGCTACTTCTTTAACAGACAGATTGCCCTAATAAATAGATAATTTTTTAATTGCTTCCTATTTCATTTTGCTTGGTGGCTAGGCTACCAGAGTGGCCCGGGGTCACTTGCCCGGCCGGGCCAAAACTGTTAAAAAAAATAAAAATAAAAATAAAAACTTTTAAAATTTATATTTTATTCTACATTTGGTGAAGAATTTCGATGTGACCCTGAGGCAATAGGTATTCAGTTTATTTTTCTGCATAACATAGTTTTTTGGGGGATTTTTTGGAGTTCTTTTCTTTTTCTTTTTTTTTGCTGGGACCTTCCCTGGTCCTTGCACGGGCTGGGCACCCGGGACCCGGGCGGCCCGGCTGGTAGCCTAGCTTGGTGGTGATTTTTTTAATTTTGTTTTTACCAAAATGTGCCTTTGTACTTGGTAATCTTTGAATTACCTTTTCTGAATTGAACATAGTTTCATTTTGTTTTTGTTTAGGTAGCTCAGTTGGTTAGAGCGAAGGACTGCTGGGAAGAGATTGTTTTGCACTTTGTGGCTATGTTACAGTCCGGGCACCTGGAACCGCAGGTTCTTTTTTTTTTTTTTTTTCTAATAACCCTATAACCGTCAGACCTCCGCAAGAACTGGACCCAATGGAATGGTTGTGGAACGTTACGACCAGATACAGTGTAAACACTGAATTATTCAATTAAACCACCCTGTGTGCTTACGACCCTTCCCTTGCCGAGCCTAGAAAGACCCTGCGTGCCCAAAAGAAAACGAGCCGCCAGCCATTTAGCTGCGCGGTTGGCAGTGCCCCCAAATGTTGAGCTGCGTTAACGCGACGTCGGAGACGAATGGGTGGGAAATGCACTGGTGGGTTAAATCGCCAGTACACGGCCCCAGCCTTGCTGAAAATGAAACTTGTCGCCCACAAAAATTTCGGAGGCTCGGCCTACCGGACCACAATGGCTGGCGGCGCCAGCCAAAAAAAAAAAAAAAAAGGTGCACCGCTGACTGTTCGGAAAAGCTTGGCGCGCAGTAAGGTGCCTCCAGGGCCAGGTGTACTCGAGGTTTAAGATGCTATGTTAAGGTGCAGTCACTGCAGAGGAGCCCATTGAAAGAGCTGTGTGTCAATTGTAAGGAAGGACAAGCCAGCAGGATTGGTTTTGCTGTTTCGTCAGGTGTAACGAGTAAGTTTGTGCATTTACAATTTGAAAGGAATGATGATCTGTTTTGAATGTTTAGAATTGAATCAAATCAATAATGGTTTGCTTAGTTGCTCGCGAATCGTAGGTGATGTCTGCACCCATTCCCTTTTAGGAAATAATGAAAGGGTTTCCTATTACTCTTGACAAGGGTTTTATTTGTAACCATGCGCAACACACTTCACACGATTCTCACACCGGATGTAGCACACCCGAAGCACATATGAGAAGTGAACTAAATAATAGTATCTGCAAGTCAACACTTGTACACAAGATCGTTTTCCTCAAGCCTAGGCAGCAATGGCCGCCGGTAACAACACACAGGTGCTCCCTCTCTCTCTCTCCCTCTCTCTCTCTCTCTCTCTCACACACACACACACACACACACACACACACACACACACACACACACACACACACACACCCCTCACACCCGCTGACCCTACTCACAGTCCTCACAATACTTTCTGAAAAGCTCTCACTAACCTAGCTACGGCTATGGGTGCCCAGCACTGTGAACTACCCCGTGAACTACACTTGCAGCAGCGCACAAGATGCGGTCGAACTGAGCGCACAACAATACAGCAGCGCTTTCGCAGTGGCGCGGTAGTGAATATGTGATGGCGACCTCAACAAGTGCACTTTTTCATCCGGCGCTTCAGTTCTGGACTTGTTCTTCGGGCTATGGGCTGAACCCTGACTTTCCTGGGACTTTTCTGCTGACTGTGACCAACTGACCGAAAGGCCTACCAACTTCCACCGACTTTTCTAGCCCTACGCGTACCTGCCGGATCCTACCTGCGACTGCATGCTATTATGGGACCCCACCTGCGGCACTTGCATGGGCCGCAGGAATCTGGTACATGAGACTGTGACTGGAACTGGGACTTGGGGGACCGGAATTGAAGCTGGGACTTGGGACTGGGGCAGTGAATCCTTTCCGTTTTAGGGGGAAAAAAGCGTTGTAGGTAGTAGGTACGCGTTTACAGAAAAGGACGGCCCGGGATGTTTGCTACCCCTCTGGACCAGGATGTTTTCTTGCTGTTTTGGCAGGCCACAGAATAATTTACAGTGTCCCTTTGCTACCAGCGGCTGCCAGTAACCCCGGGCAAAAGGGACAAGTTAAATTATTCTTTGGTCATGACTAAATCCCCGGGAAAAAGTTAGAAAAACTGAAAAGTTGGTTGAGAAATTCTCAAGAAAAACAGCCTCTAGTTTTTTTCTGAGCTCATGACTAAATCTTATGCGTCTTTGAAGTTCTGTTTTCGCTATTTTTCCAATTCAGTGGGGTACTTTTTTTCGATTTTTTTGTTTTCCCCTCTTTGGTATGACATGATCGTGTTATGGGGGGTGGAAGTTGTGTTATCAATATAGGAAGTCACGATGTTTTCTTCTTTCTCTGGAAAGCTGACGTGCACCTCCATTTAGTAGTTAGTATTTACCCTCTCTGGATTTTTAATTTTCTTTTTTTTATAATTTCTTTTGTTGTCATCGTTGATGGTGGTGTTTGTTTCCAGAGGACAGCGAAGGGCGATTCATTTGCAGCGCTCATACTCTTCATGTTACCTGCGGAGGCTGCGGGCAGCTGATGCCAATTCGCCAAGTCGAAGGAGTACACTGCAAGTGTATGTGTGCTATTGTCTAACATGTTTTCACTCTTCTCCTATTCCTCCCTTCTCCTTCCTTCCTTCCTTTTCCCTCCCTCCCTCCCTCGGTCCCTCCTCTCTTCCTTCATTCGTTCTTCCCTTTGTCCATTCTTTGATTTTGTAATGCATTCACTGTTGCAGTTTCAAATGTTTTCTCGTTAAGTAGTTTTTGTCACTGCTTCTCACACTCTGTTTTCCACCCATGTCAATGTAAAAGTGTTTGTGTGTGTAAGTTTACAGAGTCCCGATGTCCTGGACACCTTTTCTCATTCCAAATCCGTTGCGTGAAATGGATGTTGACTGCGACACTTATTCCCCTCAACCAAGCAATCTTTTGTCGGCATTTTTGTCGAGTTTGAAGCTGTGTTGCCAGAATGGCCCGGGACCACTTGCCCGGCCGGGCCAAAAATGGAAAAAAAAAATTTCGGCCCGGCCCTGAGGCAACAGTTATCTTTTGTCGACATTTTGGTCGAGTTTGAACTTTGGAGCTGTGTTACCAGAATGGTCCGGGACCACCTGCCCGGGCGGGCCAAAAATGAATAAAAAAACTAGGCTGGTTGGGCCCGGGGGGGTCTGCCCGGCGAAACTGGGCGACGAAAAAACACAGCAAGGATTTTTTTAATTTTTTTTTTTGAATGCGGGGTTGTGCTGCGCTACCCTAGAGGACCCCGAATCTCCAATAAAAAAAGTGAACTTCGGGGGGGGGTAGGGGGCTTGGGGGTGTCAGTGCTGGTATGTCACAAACCTTGCAGGTGTGTATGTGGAAGAAAAAGAAGAAGAGGAGGAAGAGGAGGAGGAGGAAGAAGAAGAAGAAGAAGAAGAAGAAGAAGAAGAAGAAAAAGATGCGACGAAGAAGAAGAAGAAGAAAAAGATGCGACGAAGAAGAAGAAGAAAAAGATGCGACGACGAAGAAGAAGAAGAAGAAGAAGAAGATCTCTCTCTCTCTCTCTACTACTACTACTAACCGACTTACCTTGGCGCGACAGCGTGATGGCGGGCGTCGGCCGGCTCGGCGGCGTTGGCGGGCGTTGGCGCAGCTCCTGTCGAGTTGAGGCGTCGGGCGAAGTGTGCGTTGGGCGGGAGAGGTGACGGGGGAGGGGACAAGGGCTGCGGTGGTTCCTGCCCGATTTCGAAAATTCCAAATTGTGGCCCATCTGGGCCGTCGATCCTGGAGATCGACGGCGCAGATGGCCACAATTTCGAATTCTCGAAATCGGGCCTACCGGCCCTTAGTTCTTTCGCACTGTGATGGCCTGGACAGCCTCCTTTGGGGGGAAGAAGGCCCCCCGCGTCGAGAAAGGCCGAACCCCCCCTCTTCTGAGATGCGCTGGCCTCGCCCGGTGGCCAACCGGGCGGAACAACCTGCCAGGCGGCCCGGCCCCTCCCCGGCGACCACTGGGTCGCCAGGCGGCCCAGGGACCAGCACAGTAAAAATATAAAAATAAGAAAATATTTGTTTAAGAAATTTAATTTATTTTTTATTTTTTTATTTCTCAAAGAATTTTGACTCGACCCTGAGGCAACATTTCAGTTTATTTTTCTGCTCAACATATTTTTTTTTCGTTTTTTTTAACTTTTTTTATTTTTTTTATTTTTATTTTTATTTTAAACAGGGACCTTCCCTGGTTCTTGCCCGGTCGGGCGGACAGGTCAAACAAGGTGACCCGGACGGCCCGATCTATAACGCAGGTTTGAAGGGTATGTGCGTATGGATTTTCCGGAGGGAAAAACAGCAACTTGTGAGCGAGCGAGTAACTTGTGAGCGCGAAAAACAGAAAACTTGTGAGCAAGAAAAAGTTGAAAAACAGTAAGTGAATGATTTTTCGTGCCTGTTTGTGTTGGAATCTCTCTTGTTTCCTTGTTTTCCAACACGGAACTTGCTTCTTTTTTGTCAAAAAAAAAAAAAAAAGGGCGACAGCCTTCAGATATCATCGCGAAAACTGACCGGCCGTAGTAGCTAATTCAGGAATTGGATTCGAAGTTCGAACTCAGTTCTGCATTTCAAGTTTCAGCAGTTTACGGGTGTACCGACTGAGAGCTTGTTTGTTGTGCGTCATTGTCTGTGATCGCATCAGGTATGCAGTGCAACACTTTCTTCTGCGACAACTACTGGCGATCCCAGGGAATTCCGTCCCCTCTCGGTGCTCCAGGTTGTGAGCTCGAGGTCGAAATCAAGGAGGTTTGTAAATAACGACGCAAAACCGCTGTTTCTATATAGATGCATGTATATCACACTATTCATATAATATAAGAATATAGCATATACGCATGTGTCGGTGAAACCCTGACGAAACAGTCTGTCACAGCCCCTCGTTTGTTGTCCTCTTCTCGCTCTCTCTGCTCCTTGGTTCACTGCGCAGTTCTCTATGACAATATATATTCATATATATGCATACACGTGTGTGTGTGTGTGTAGAAAGAATAGAAACGACTGCACAGAAAAAGGCAAAAAGGATTCAAAAGAGTGGTTTTTGCCTGTGCCTCATGCAGTCTTCTCTTTTCTTCATTAAGTTAATCTCTTTTAATTGACATAGAGATGTATATCATCAGGTACGGGACTCTGCAGACTGTAGGGGGATCATTCTGACGGCAAGTCGGTGAAACTTCAAGGAAACAGTCTGTCACAGCCCCTGGTTTCTTGTTGTTCTCTAATCCCTTTGTGCCCAAAGGGTTCATTGATAACTTCAATCTCTTGATGAGTTGGTGAACCTCAGCCTCAGATTGCAGCAGTCTGTCACAATGCCCCTTTTCTTTCCCTCCTCTCCCCTTTATGCACACACTTTGCTACGCAGTTTGGGTTGCTTGTTTTTCTTTTCACTGAGCTTGGTGGGCTTGTTGTCACTGAGCTGGGTGGCTTGGTTTCGCTGATCTTGATCTATTGTCCTGACAAGCGGGCGTGGAGGGTGGGTCATGAGCGGCTTTCAAGCCTTTGGCTCCGTCTTCCCTTTGTTTTCTCTTACTCTCTGATGCTGCAGCTGCTTCGGCATGATTTTCAACAAAAAAAATAGAAAAAAAAAGAAAGCTTTGATTGCCAAAAATCTGCAAGTTTTTTGATGGGTGTTCTGGTAGTGGTGGTGCTGTGTTTCACATGTGGGTGGGGAGGGAATCCTGTTTAGTAGGAAATTGGTTGCCGCAGCAGTGAAAGCTTATTTTTAAAGTAGCATTTACTGGAAACCAGTGCGAGGGGGGGAAGGAGGAGAGGAGGGGATGAGGGGGCGAGGGGACGAGGAGTGCTCAGCTGAGTGGCAGTGCATCATGTACCCGAGGACATTGTACAGCGCCCACACAACATGAATGATTTTTTTTATACATATGTATGGCGTACAAAAATGTTCCCCCCCCGCCCCCATTTACTGGAAACCAGTGCAAAGGGGGGGGGAGGAGAGGAGGAGGGGATGAGGGGACGGGGAGTGCGCAGCTGAGTGGCAGTGCATCATGTACGCGAGGACATCGTGCAACACCCACACACCGTGGATGATTTTACTTCTTACATTTGTATGGCGTTGAAAAATGTTCCCCCACCACTCCCCCCTCCTCTGGGTATTGAATTCTTGTCTCAAAATCCGTTGCAAATTTCAATCTTTGTCTGAGGCAAAAGTTGTTCAGATTCAGAACAACGTTTTAGACTACATATCTTTCTCTGTTTTTTTTTTTTTTTTTTTTTTCATTGCGAGGGTTTGATCCCTCGGCATAACCGCATAAGGCCCTACATCAAGCATGTGCCCACCCTAAGTGAAGTCAGGCTCCTGAACTCGTCATTTTTTGCAAATCTTGGTCGGCGCCAGACAGTTGCCACGCGCCAGTTGATTACATCTGCCTTGCTCGTGAGAATCCACAATATTCGGGAGCTTTCCAGACTCAGTCCAGCAACGTGGTCAAAGCAGGGAGCATCGCACGCTTGCGCCCCGGTGGTTGGGCATGCCTAACCACTTCGGTCCCAGGCCACTGTCGGAACGGGCCTGGGCGCAGACACTTTGGCCGAGACTGAAGCTACTGAAAACTCGGTCTCGCGTGGGAAAGGAAGGCAAAGCGCCCGCCACTTTCCATATAGGAAAGGGCAGGGCGCCGGGCTCAGGGAACGGGCACTTTCAAGTTGCGGGCAGCAGCGCTGCTGGAGTGATTGCTCACAGGCTGCTTGCTGCGCCAGTGCAGGTGCTGCGAGCACGCGCGGACGTGCAGCATGTAGGGCGCTGCTGAGGGCAGCGCCATAGCCAGCCCCACGTAGCTGGGGCTCGGCTTGGACATAGCCAGTGGAGGTGGTGGTGGTCTTCGTGCTGAGAGGGAAGACGTGGGTAAGAGAAGACGAGGGAGAGAGAAGGAGATGAGGATGAGGATGTGAGGACACGTACCTGGTCTTGGCGATGGTCTACAAGGTCGACATCGTCATGCACTTCGGTTGTTGCTGCTGATGTCAACGGGATGCATTGTCCATTTGTAGGCTGCAAGTAGCTGTGTAGTAGTAGTCCGGGCGCTGAGCGCCAAGTAGGAGGAAGGGCTCTCTGATACATGTGTTGGTCGGTGGTGGCGAGAGTATGCTCTCATTGACATTTGGATTCAGTACTTTGGTTCTTCGTTGTTGGAATATCAGTGCATTTCTGCTTTCTGGACAGTTTGACTTTCTGGCCTTCAGTGTGAATTTGCATTCTGGACTTCTGTCATTTCGCTATCGCTCATTTTTCCTTCCATCATAATTTTTTGAACTTTTTTTTTTTTTTTTTGACTGAGCTCTATTCTTCTCTCAATTTCACCGTTCACCATCTAGTATCTACCTACCACTACTCCTAAGCCTATACAGGGGACCCCTGCAAGCACAGCTACTTCTCACACTTAAATTATCGACGGTGGTCAGGGAGTAGGGTGGGGCCCTTCCACGAAAGTGCTACCGTAGAGTACAACGCCCGTGCAACGGATACAAGTAAATTATTTTTAAGATATGCGAGAGATGCAATGCCAAGCGGGAAATCACTCCACTCACATTGTCTGAGGAAGAATGAATTGCGCACAGTGATTGGTTTAGACTCTAGAGATGATCAGAAGCCCGAAGCGATTTTTGTTTGTTTTGGTTGGGGGGGGGGGAGCGACTTCCTTGCCTCGACTTGAAAAAACCGACGTTCAGATGTGTGATGCCTCTTCAACACTGTGAACGCTGGTCAAGAGCTTACTCATACGAGGACTTTTCAATATAATCTGGCTTTGATTGCGGCCACATGCATTCAGGAAAGAATCTCTTGCTTGTCCGTGATTGATTGTCCTATTATAAGGATATCACATCATATCGGTGTGCATTTCCACTTTCAGGTTACTAATAATTCGTATTTAATAATTTAATAATGTAATATTTTATTATTTTTATTTATTTGTGGTCCTGATTTTTTACAGTCGCTGTGCCTTTGTTCTTTACGTTCTTGAGTCTTGGCTGTTTATTCAATTGTAATATTAAATTAAAATATATTTTAAATTGAATTTGTATTAAGTACTATTAACTTCATTTTCATTTGCTATTCTGTGCTGCTCTACAGTTGCGAGATTGGGAACCTGCAGGCGAATTGCACCATGCCTTCGGTGGCAATCAGATCGAAGCTCAGGTACTTGGGCCCGCCTGAATTGTCAGAGTGCCAGAATGGTACACTTGTTAGTAGTGATTACCATCGCACAAAGTCCCATTGCAAAGATTTTCCAGAAGGGCCTAGTTGCACTACTCGCCACCTGCCGACATTTAGAATGCATCTGGACAAATTTGAGTGCAGATGCATGCAAAATGTTGGCGGGTGGCGAGTAGTGCAACTAGGCCCTCAGGTCGCTTTCGGAATGATGATTCCATCATGGTATGGTAATCAGACTTAAATGTTGTTGAGCTTAATTCTCGTTTGGGCGAAAGAAAACAGGAAAGGGGGGAGGGGGCGGGGGGAGAAGAAAATACTAAAAAATAGAGATCATCCGCCTTCAAGGGGGAAAAAAAATAAAAATAAAAGTTCATGTTGCTGCCTGCACCTATTCCTCTTCAAGAGGGGGGGGGGGGGAAGACGTGTCTTTTTCTTAAAGTGGGAAAAAAAAAGATACCTTTATGTTTCATCTGCGAGGAAGGACATGTTGGTGTGTAGTAGGGTACGCAACACTACACGTTTGTTTCATTTCGTGTTTACAATTATCCATGTAAAAAAGCTAAAAACTACAAAAAAACACTTTTCAGAGAAAAAAAATCCGATCCTTGTCGTTTCCAAACTTAAATCTGATGCAGGGAAAAAAAGAAAAAGACACTACAAAGAATGAAAACATTTCCGAACCGGTGGTCTGTAGCAGTCCCCCCCTTGCCAGGCGTCTAGAACTACCACAAGGGTTGGGCTGTTTCTCTTTTTCCGTCTCTTCTCTTGCCCTGCGAGGATCAGGCTCATTTTCCTTGCAGCCCCCTCTCGGTTGGATGTAAAAAACTTGCTTGCCGGTGACAAGCAACCGGACTGTTGCCCCCCAGAATAGAAGGGGCTTTGTTTTTGTTAAAAATAATAATAATAATAATAACGTTTTCTAACCATCCTTTTTGAAAAAAGAAAAAAAGGAAAAGTTTCCTAAATTTCTAACCACGTTTTTTTCCCTGTGTGTGTGTGTGTGTGTGTATGCTGAGTTCCTGGAGGCTTCGGTTTTTTTTTTCCTGTTTCTTTTCTTTTCTTTTTTTTATCGGCCGTTCTCAATTTGTCCGAGTTCCCTCTGCATGTGGTCTGCGTATGTGTCCAGATTCTTGAGGACTACTTAACTACGCACAACATTTCACGTCAGGCGCTTTGGCAAACCTGTCTTGCAAAAATGGACGCTGGCGAAATGGGTGAGTGACAATTTTTCTCCTCAAGTAGTACACTGTACTATACACCCATATCTGTTTGGTCTGCTACACGGATGCCAGCCATTTGATAAGCCAACTCTTTTTGTATGTGTGTGTAAGTTGGGACTATGTCTTCGTCGTGTGTGTGTGTGTGTGTGTGTGTGTGTGTGTGTGTGTGCTTTTATAAATCTCCCTCTGCATGGAGAAGCACCTGAATACAAAGGACTTCGGGAGGAGAAGCATGTGGGTATGTCTGTGGACGCGCTGGCCACTGAAAAGAGAGATCGTGTGGACGTACTGCTTGGCAGACGTTCTGCCTTCAACTGTCTAGTGATGCCAGGGGCATGTGCACATTTTGGTTCATTTAGAGAGAGAGAGAGAGAGAGAGAAAGAGAAGGATGAGACATGGGTGAGAGAGGGACTTACAGAACTTGAGTCCCGCCTCTTTCCTCCGTGACGTCATTTATTTTCTTTATTGCATTTTATGCTCCTTGTTTTTGTTGGGGGCTAGAAGGGGCACAAAATGGACAGAGGAGGTGAAGAAAATAACCCCTCCTGTTATCATTATAAATTCAATATTTCATATTATTTATGGTATTACTGTATTTTACAGGATGTGAGATGGGAAGTTTGAATCCCCAACTTGTGTTAATTGTTAGTTATGACTCTTATGAGTCATCTTCTGAATTTGAGCAATGATGTGAATGATGTGATGCCATGTAAATTCCATTTTCGGACTCTTGTTTTTGTGTTGTGGACCTGGGGTTTGTTGGGATCCTGTTTTTCTTTTCTTCTCTTTTCTTTATCTTTTTTTTTCCTCTCTCTGGGCTCCTTGTTAACGTTTTTGTATATGTCTGTGTTTGTTGGATTCGATACGAGCTGCACTATGACATGC